GACTAAAACACAGTGGTCAATGCCACAAAACATGAAATTCTCAAGAGAATTTTTAAGCAATCGGCGGGCAACCTGCCTTATTTCATGGACACACACATGCTGAGACACACACACACACACGCGCATGTACACACATGTTGGGTATTCATATCTTGTGGGGACATCTAATTGACATAATGCCTTGCTAGTCCCTTACCCTAACCCTAACCCTGACACTAAAACCACATTTTGAGTCTCAAAAATGCCTTCAAACTTGTGGGGACCAGGATTTTGGTCCTCATAAGGGCTGTTGGTCCCCACAAGTATAATAAACTTCCAATTTTGGTCCCCACAAAAATGTTAATACCCGTATACACACACACACACACAGACACACGCACACACACTCACAAACGTACAGTCTCTCCTCTCTCCTTTTCATCGGGCTGTAATTCGTGCCTGCTGCAGCCACCTTTAACGAGGTAACTCTATACTGGATGTATTTACTTAGATCAGATAAGTGGTCGTGCCACAGTGATTGTCTTTTTATTCACGTTAATCTGAATGCCTATTCAGCCTAATAGCATGTCAAACGATGACTGAATTCGGAAGTCTGTGAGAGGCTTGGCCTTTTAAGTTTTTATGTGTTTACAGGAACTGTGCTCTTCTAAACATGGAATAGGTTCATTTAAAGCGATGACAGCTCTCTTAAATGAAGTGCATAATTATGTCCAGCCCTTCAGTGCCAAAAGCGACTTTAGGTTAAACTGTAGTCAAGTGAATAAAACGTTTTGATTTAAACGTAAAAAAGCTGAACAGCAAAACTAAAAAGTGCAGCTTCCTGAGTTTTCTTTCTTTATTCAAAAAAGAAAAGTCTAAATGTAATTGTAGACAGACTGTTAAGATATTTAGACTTCTAATTTTAGTGCAAATGCTTTTCTTTTTTTTCTTTAATTGCTTATTTTTTTCTTTTTAATTGGGGTTATAGATGTCCTAAACGTGAGAGAATATTGTGTAAGCCAAGCAAGGAGCTTACACTAGTCTTCAGACTTTAATATACTAGAGAGTAAATGTCAGCTCTTTTTCCTGCTTGGATGACCCTACAAGGCACCATGAGGATTCTTCACCCTCTTAGTTCAGTCATTATGTCTCCATTAGAATAAAAAAATGATGTCTAAGGTACAGTAGTGTAAAACAAATCTGGAACAAACTCAAGACCAATTTAATATGTCTTGCCCATATTGCAAATCCCTGCTTTTTTTTTTTTTTTTTACTCGGAATATAAACAAGACCTGCTGAGGGAACTACAGTTAGATAACATCAGAGGCTCTATATACGAGGAATATTTGTTTGAATAGCTGAATGAGAAATGCAACCTTCGTAACATATCTCCAGATAAGAAACTACCTTGAGAAAATACAGGAAGGTAAAGCCAAGTCATGCGTTTTATCAGTGCCATCGAGTCTGTTTCAGACATGTTTTTCCATGCCTCCATCTATCAATACCCTGGAGCACTGCATGGGAATGAAAGTACACTTCCACAAAAGATCTGGCCTTCTGAGAGAAGATGACTCCGTTCTCTTTTCAATGGAGCTGAGACACACTGCATTAAAATCATTGAGACCGAGCCCGGTGTAAATGGGCGTGCATAGTTTGTAGAGGGCAGGATGGAAAGATCAAGGAAAAAGGGTGAGAGAGAGTGAGCTGGAGAGGGGGACAGACATGCCTGCGCTTCCTCTCCACCCATTCTTTAATGCTTACTGAGTAGCCCCGCAGTGCACCCTTTGTCCCAGTTATTGTCACGGGCTTAGAGAGCTTCTTTGCCAAGTGAGAGGCTTTGGCGACATATGTCACTTCAGTGAGTCTCCTGTCGCTCCTTGAGCTGCTTGAGCAGAGGGGCGGGCAGGGAGGCGTGTCTGTGTACCAGGAGGGAAGCAACGTGAGGTGGAGGAGGAAAGGACATGTCAGAGATGTTGATTCAGGGAGAGTTGTTGGAATGATCCCCTGGAGGTCCTGTACTTTTTATGCGGACTTGTAGGGCTGCTGCCTTGAGCCTCTGCTAGAGGTGGACATAAGATGTCAAATGACTCAAAAAACTGTAAGTATTGGTTACTTCATGAACAGGCTAATTTGTAGTCCTTGGGAAATGGTTGGTTTCTGTGCTTACTCCCTCTGTGTTTGAGTGGAATGACATAAAATCAGTTGTCTGTAAGTTTGCAGCCTGCACTCTGCAGCTACACATGCACAATCTGCAGAGCTTCTGGTCTGTCCGAGGAAAGGCTGTGCTAAGTTTGCTTTTAAGGAAGTAGAGGAGATCATTGTATACAGTGTAGGCTGACAAGGATTAGTCATGTAGAAGACACACTCTCTTCTGGCCAAGTATTAGCCTGGGTTACACAATCCCTGTGGATTTGTGGCTATGAGCTGTCATGTGTCAGGTAATGCATCTCTCAGCTCCGAAAACAAATCCTTTGTTATGTGTTTACATAGTGACTCCACCCCATTTATGCTCCAAGGATTTTTGAAATGGACTATGTCAGCTTTGTTTGAGTTTTCAGTGAAGTGGCAGGTTTGCAGATCTCGACGTGTGTGCAGAGTTGAGTAATTTGCCTGACCAACAAAGCAACCAACAGTGCATTTGCACCACATGAATGAAATGGGCCTAAAATCTGTTGTCGTGTTGTTAGGATAACTGAAAATCTTTTCAAAAGCTCGAGCTTCCCTTTTCCCCCCCTCCTGTGTCACTTGAGGACTTGCGGGCCTCTTGCCTGAAGACGACTTTGCAGAGTCTGTTTGGCTGATGGAGTTTTCTTCCTGTCACATAAATCTCAACACTGTCACTAAAGTTGTTTTTAATGCCAGTGCAGTGGTACTCTGGGTGGTCTCCGGTGGAAAAACTTTATCTGTGTGTGCTGGTGTGCGAGTGTGTGTTTTCCTCTGGGCTTGAAATACACACTACTGTTGTACCAGACTAGAATAAGCGTGGCTTCCAGCTTCACTGCAGCATGAAAATGTTTGTTCACTCCACTGGAACAAACATCTAACAAGCTTTGTAACTGCTCCAACTCAGGAAAGATAATCACAATAAGACCTTATTGCAAACAATACTTTGCAGCAATCTCTCTTAATTTGTTTAATTGGTTCTAAATTCGAGTGGCTTAATCCTAAATCGAGTCTATAACAATCACCACATTAACCTTGCTCACTAAGTGGGAGCAGCACATGCAGCCATGTGTCCTTAGAAGAACCCAGAGTAGCGCTCAGCCATTGTTAAGCAGCGTACTGTATGACTGCTGGAGCTCACCGACTTCATTCTACTGATAGCAGGATTAACTGGAGGGTGAACCCATTTGGCATTGCCGGTGCTGCCGCTACAGTCTCAACACTGTGAGAGCTAAGCCGTGAAACAGTGACGGGCTTAGACCAATTTATAAACTGCCATCTTGGATCTAGCGATCGTTGCAGACAGCAGCTTAGCTTTTGTGCCAGTCGGGTTTACTGTAAGCATGTCATGCGATGCCACCAGCCAGGCTTTACAGTTCAAAGGGTAATCACAAAACAAGTGCTCTGCCACAACTTCACAACAATGAAGGACATGAAATGGCTGTTGTCTTCAATAGGATATCTTGCATCAAGCAGTCACAGCTTCTTTAAACTGACTGTTTTCAGAATATTAAGTTTGCTTTGTTTTGTAATCCATTGATATTTATCATGGAGCCTACACCAAGTACACCAAAGTGCTTTCCAGTAAAATCATGATACAGATAAAAATCACAATATAAAATATAAATTACAGATATAAATAAAATATAAAATAATTACATAATCTAAATGCAAAGCCAGATGTAAACTACCCTAATTAGCCTTGAATGCCAGGTTAAACAAATACGTTTTTAGACGTGATTTAAAAGACTGAATGGAATCTGATGCGTGAATATGAAGAGGAAGAGTATTCCATAACCTGGGTGCGGCAACGGCAAAGGCACGGTCTCTTCTGGTCTTCAGCCAAGACCTAGGTTGCACTAAGAGCAGTTGGCCCGATGATCTTAGTGCTCTCTGAAGGCTATACAGACAGAGGAGATCAGCTAGGTAGTCAGGTGCCATATTGTTTAGGATTTTATAAGGAAACAATAAAATTTTTAAATCAATTCAATATTTATTGGAAGCCAATTTAAGTTGGCCAGAACAGAGGTGATAGAATCATACTTTCTAGTGCCGGTCAAGAGACGTGTTGCAGCATTTTGGACCAGCTGCAATCGCTGAAGAAGAGAAGATTGGAGGCCCAAGTAGAGAGAATTACAATAATCCAGTCTTGAAGTGATGAAAGCATGAATGAGTTTCTCCAGATCTTTGCGTGGTATATAAGGTTTAGCCTTAGAGCGTAGGCGTAGTTGGTGAAAGCTGGTTTTTACCACAGTAGAAACCTGTTTATCTAGTTTGAAGGAACTATCCATTGAAAAATCCAAGATTCCTAGCAGCATCAGTGAGGTGGTTAGCAACAGGCCCGAGTGTGCCAGTCAGTTGTCCCAGAGGCATATTTCTATCATTTAAAGTAAGAAAGTTACGTGATAACCC